GGAATTGGTGACTAGAACCAAAGAGGGTGGAGAGGGTGGGGGGTGTGGAGGGCGAAAGGGGGAACAACAGGTACAGGGAGTGTCTGCTGTGCACCCACGGCGCTCCCCCCACACAGGGCTCTACACACACGGCTCCTCGGGGCCTCCCAGGAGCCCTCGCCGGGCGGCACGTTGCTTCCCATTTCACAGATGAGGAGACTGAGGCGTGGCTGTGTGATTTCGGAGGGAGCGTGAGGCTTCCCAGGCCTTGCCCACCGCTACCGCCAGCGCCAGAGCGTAATGAATTATAAGCGATGGCTACTGAGTCGGGCTCTAGGGCCACACTGTGCGCGTAACGAGCACGGTGGGCTGGATGTGCTCCATGCATATTCATACTTATAACGACATTAGTTGGCGTTGTTATGCCTGTTTTGGCAATGGTGCTACCGAACTGACGCTGGTCGACTGGGACCCCGGCCTGGTACCCTGTCCACAGGCAGGTGCTCTGCGCAAGGCGGCTGTGATGTCATACTGGGCGTGACACCGGGGGCCTTGAGGGCTGCGTGCTGCACCCACAACCTCATTCAGGCTGCACAGAGCCCAATGCGCGAGAGGCGGTCGAAGCCATTTCAGGGACGTGGCATCTGGGATTGCGGGGCCTCGCTCAAGGTCCCACAGTCCACCCAGGACGAGACGCACACGGAGCCCCGCTTCAGCCGCCGGCGCCTGTCCTGCGGGCGCTCGCTCGCCCTGTCCCCGCCTGCGGGTGGGCACTGCCCTCCCTGCGGCCTCACCTCAGGGTTCTGATCTGATGGCGCCCAAGCTGTAGGTACCTGCAGAGTAAAGACATGGCTCCTTTCATGGCTTTAAAAAAATTTTTTTAAAACCTTAGTATTTTTTATTGATTTCAGAGAGGAAGGGAGAGGGAGAGTGAGAAACATCGATGATGAGAAAAGATCATTGATTGGCTGCCTCCTGCACGCCCCGCACAGGGGATCGAGCCTGCACCCCAGGCATGTGCCCTTGACCAGAATCAAACCCGGGACCTTTCAGTCTGCAGGCCGACGCTCTATCCACTGAGCCACACCAGCCACGGCCTTTCGTTGGCTTTGACATTTCTCCTGAGCTTCCAGGGCCCGGCCCCCTGTCCGTGTCTCCCGGGGAGACGGGACCCGGGTGGAGGTGAGGCTGCTCTCTGCGCGCTGGGGCTGCTCCAACCAGACAGACCCCCTCCAAAGCAACAGCGTCCTGGCTGCATGTTCGTGTGTGGGGGAATGGAGGTGGTTTAGCCGCTCGGGGCTGGGCCTGGGCACTGAGCTCAGCAGAGACGCGGGGCCAGCGTGCAGGGAGAGATGGTGCACGCACACCGCACACCGTCAGGACTCCGCAGCGGGCGGCGCGGCCCCCTCTCTGTGGCAGATGCAGTCTCTTTGAAGAATGTCTTTGAAGTGAGTCACGGCATTGAGACCAGGAGCTGGCACTTTGATTGGCCCTGTCACAGGGGGGCGGGCTCTGGGTGGGCCCCTCGGCCTTTCCATCTCCAGGCCAGAGGAAGCAGCAGGGGGCAGTGGGCTCAGGGCATGGGAGGCTCTGCCCCCCGGGCTTCCGCGTCTGTCTGTGTCTGCGCCCCACTTGTCTGAATGGCTGAGTCCCTTTCCTTTCGGGGCGCCTCACCCACCTCCCTGTGTCTCCCAGTCCCGTCTTCGTGTTGCCACGGGGGGCGGGGGGGAGGGTCACTAAAATATGAGTGGATTTATTTCTTGGCTGTAGGACTCTCACATGGCTCAGAGCTCCGAAGGCACCCAGTGCCCGTGCTCCCACCCCGGCGCCCCGCTTCCCGGGAAAAAGTCCCCCTGAAGCCCCTTCCACACACAGAGAAGAGTTTGTTTGTTTTTTAAAAAATATTTTTTTTATTGATTTCAGAGAGGAAGGGAAAGGGAGAGAGAGAAGCATCAATGATGAGAGAGAATCATCGATTGGCTGCCTCCTGCACGCCCCCCACTGGGACTGAGCCCACAACCCGGGTATGTGCCCCGACCGGGAATTGAACCTGGGACCCTTCAGTCCGCAAGCCCATGCTCTATCCACTGGGCCACACCACCCAGGGCTGTTTGTCTTTTGAAGCGCAAACGTCTCTGGCCCCTGTGACTGAGGCCGGGTGGTTGGCGGTAGGGGTGATGCAGTGGCCTGTGTGGCCCCATCTGCGGGCCGAGCTGCAGCACCTCCCCCCGCCCCCCACTGTGCCCCATGGGCGGCAGAATCGGGGGATGTGCGTGAAGGCCCTAACTGCCCAGGGGAGGAAAACGCTGTTGGCAACGCAGGACAAGCCTGGTGCCTGAGCAGCAGGGGGACTGAGAGCGCGTTTCCCTCGGGGACTCCCAGGCGGGCGGGGGCTGGCTCCCCAGGCGTGCAGTCCCTCACACGTCCTCCCCTGCAGGCGGCTCCCGGGGCCACCACAGACCTCTGCTGTGAATTTGACGTTAAGATTCTTTTTAGCCCGGCCAGCGTGGCTCAGTGGTGGAGCATCGACCTATGAACCAGGAGGCCACAGTTCGATTCCCGGTCAGGGCACATCCTCAGTAGGGGGTGTGCAGGAGGCAGCTGGTCAGTGTTTCTCTCTCATTGACCCTTCTATCCCTCTCCTTTCTCTTTCTGAAACACACACACACACACACACACACACACACCCCTATTTTTTATTGTCCGACCTGTGAACCCAGGAGGTCACGGTTGGTTCGATTCCCAGTCAGGGCACATGCCTGGGATGTGGGCTCAGTTCCCAGTGGGGGGCATGCTGGAGGCAGCTGAGCAATGATTCTCATCACTGATGTTTCTATCTCCCTCTCCCTCTCCCTTCCTCTCTGAAATCAGTAAAAATATGTTAAAAAAACAATTACAAAAGGCTTTTACATGGCACAGAACCGTGCACACAGCTGGCCCTCAGCACCCGCGGATTCTGTTTTAGTTTGGAAACGAACAGAAAGCCTCTTGAACGTTCACACCTGTGTGTGCGTTGCCAACGTGTAACACCTGGAGACCCGGCTGCAGCCTGCAGTCCGGGCGCACAGACTTGCCTGGACCTGCATGTTTGCATAAACTGGTCACACGTGTCTCCGAGGAGCAGGACGCTTGCACCCCCAGCCCCGTGGGCGCACAGGCCACGTGGGCTGTGCAGGAGAAAGGCCTGGCGAGCCCAGGGCTGCCTGGGTGGGACACGCCGTGGGCAGGGCCAGCGAGGGAGGGGTGGTCCCGTGTGCTTGCACATGGTCGGGGATGCAGCCTGTGGGGCACCCGAACGACACCAACTTGAACTTGTGGGTCCACTTATACGTGGACTGTTTTTCAGGAAATATACGGCGGGACCTTCATATCCCCAGGTTTCGCATCCTCGGATTCAAGCAACTGCGGGTGGAAAACAGTGTTTTCAGTCCGTGGTTTGGAATCCGTGGATGCTGAGGGCCAACTGTGTGCATGGTTCTGTGCTATTTAAAAGCCATTTGTATTTTATTTTTTAACCTATTTTTACTGATTTCAGGGAGGAAGGGAGAAGGAGAGGGAGATAGAAACATTAGTGATGACAGAGAAGCATTGCTCAGCTGCCTCCTGCACGCCCCCCACTGGGGACTGAGCCCACATCCCGGGCACGTGCCCTGACTGGGAATCGAACCAACCGTGACCTCCTGGGTTCACAGGTCGATGCTCAACCACTGAGCCCGCTGGCTGGGCTGTGCCGTTTTATCTGAGGGACTTGGGCACCTGCGGATTTCGGTACCACAGGGTCCTGGCCCGGTGCCCCGTGGGTACCGGGACGACTGTGGGCGTGTTGGCTCACTCGTTGCCTCTGGGACGCATCAGTGACCAAACTTGCTCGTTTAAGACGCGTTTCCTTTCTGGCTGATGAAATGTCTCCTTTTTCCTCTTGTGTGTGTTGGGCAATCACGTAGTATTTCATGAGGAAAAAGGGCTGCGTGCGAGCCCTCCGTGACGCGTCCCCGGGTCTGACTCAGAGCCGAGTGAGTCTGATTGATGAGTCAGCTTCCGGCCCCAGGGAGCCCCTCATCTGCAGCTGGAGCCCGGAGCTGGATGGGGCGTCCTACGGGAACCGCAGGGGGGCACCCGCTCTGGTCTTTGGAGGAGAGGGGAGGAGACGCGGGCAATGTATCAAAGAGGCGGAGGGCCCGGAGGGCAGGAGTCTTACCGTGGAAATTGCTAATTGCGCTTTAATGGTAGTCAGGAGGGAGGGAGGCCAGGATCACAGGGC